TTGTTTTTTTTTTTTTTTTTTTTTTTTACGGATATAAATGACGAGAAAGACCTTCGACTGACGTCCCATTGGCTTTAGAATCGGTATTGTATGTCAATGGCAGGAACACGTTTTCGCAACGTGATTAATTACATGCATCTGGAAAAATTCTATTATGCAATACTGTATCTTTGCATTTATTCTCACTACAAATTATTTTAATGCTTGTGACAAAAAATTTATTATCATAATACATATAATGTGTGATAAAATGTGTTTTATACATAATTAAATTAAACCAATATTTTAATTAAATCTAGTTATATCAATTTAATTATATTATCCTTTAAGCTTTTATAACACATTCAAATTGTGTGTATTATAATTGTCTATTATTGAAACTCAAATTTATTATTTGTTTAATGTTGTGTATTCTATATTTTACATTGTAACAATTATTGCATTATTNGAAATTTTATTCGGAGAAGCTATTATTAGTTTATTTTGTTGATATTACTCTTATCTCTCTCTGATTCCGGTTACATGTTAATTATGTGTGTAATANGCGCTACACGCACAGGGTATTCGTCACGCAAGTGTAATATGTNAATAGAGAATTGGATTGAACACTACACATATCGACGATACATCTCNTTATCGTCGTAGATGGATTACACCACTCAGTCGGGATAACGAGCGGATTAATCTTATTGATTGACCGATTCATTACCCGGTGTTAATCGCAATTTAGGATTGACATTACGTGAGNTCGTTACACTTGCGTTGTCATGAACCACGTGCCACGGCATAATACCGCGGAAATTGTCATTAATAAAACGTCCAAACAATCGTCGTCGTGACTGTTAATGGAAGCTACGCAAAATATATAATTGCGTAAACACACCGGCGTTAATTATACAGAGGCGAAATTGACAAGAATACAAGATTTATGAGATTTTGCGAAATATATTTATTCTCTCTTTATTATTGTCGCGCAACATAAATTGTTTATTACAAGAAATTTAAACCAAGCGTATATTTTTCGATATTACTCGACCACATTTGTTCAATCTGTGATCTGGTTAATTCTTCGTTTGTACATTTTTATGTCGCGTATTAATATTGTATGTGTCAGCTTCGTGCAGATCGAACTCTCTTTTGTTAATTGAAACTAATGAGAAACAAAACTTTTGCACGGCATTTAAATCAATTCGTGTTTTTTTCTTATAATTTTCACATCATGTCATTATTTGTTAATAAAAAATGTTTCAGAGCCGAAATAGAATATTCGACAAATTCATCGAAGACATATTTGAAGATACCTATGGTTCAGCTCGAAGACGAGGGTCTCTACAAATGCGAGGCCACGTACATGACGGTCAATCACGAATGCAACAACGTGCAGCACGTTATAATCAATGTCACAGGTAAGTTTTGATCACAAATCGAGTCGCGTTTGTTACCTGCAATTTCTCTCCGGAGCAAAACAATTTGTAAACACATTACTTAATAGTTTCAAAGTATTCTCTAACCGTGAGTGTTACAACGCAACACACGTANAGCTTAATTGTGTTATCAAGTAATTCTTTACTTGAAAGTTGGAGAGTCGTAAATGTTTGATAAGCGAGAAGAAAATAGAGAGAGAGAGAGAGTAGAGAGAAAAGTCAGGAAGAGGGGAAAAAGCTTTTTGTTTAAACNCATCAGAGGAGAAATGTTTCTTTTCCCAGGCGCGCGCGGACTTTTTGAGACGCGCGCTGCTCTCTCCCTTTAAGTGTATCTACATTATCTCGGAGTTTATGAGACAATTCCCCTTCTTTCTCCAAAAGCAGTTTATTCAGCAAACGTAGCGATTTTCTTCGCGCATATATCCTACGTGAGACGTCATCACGGCGAACGTGAATAGAATCACTGTGTATATGAAATTCCGTCTGCTGATCTGTCTTCTTCGCTGTCATGCACCAAGCTCCGTGATATCACGGGGGCGAGCTAAACGAACAGGGTGGAGTTTTCAAGTATAATCGCGAGAGAGAGTACCTTTGCACACACGCGCGTAAGTAATGTTCAGAAACTTGCCTCACTCATAATGGAGGATCATATGCTTCTTCAAATTTCAAGCGAAGACTTGTCTTGGCAAGAAATTAATTCCGTATGAAGTCTAATTATTTGAAAGATAAATTTCTTTAATATTTCGGCGACTTTTTAATCGTGTCAAAACAAATAAAACAAAATCTCAGTTATTTTTTTATCGTTGTTGCTTGTTGTTGCAGTTATATGCAATATTGTTATGTTATTCGCGAATTAACTAGTAGTGCGCGAGTAGCAAAGAAATGTTTCGAGAGATTCAACTTTTCGTCGCTTTGATTACAAAGCTAATTGAAAGACCAACGGAACACAAAAGAAACTTTGTTAGAAGAAGTTACTCTTGACGCATAAGTGATCGCGACCTCAATTTTGTTGAACTTATAAACCGCTGCCTCGCGAATTTATATATCGTCCTCTTTACGGCCGAACGTGTCTTGAATCCTATCAAACAGCGGCGCCATTGTGTTTAGCTATTTTTGGATATACAACATCGCTTCGCGCGAAGTTAAAAGTGTCAGAACTTTTCAAATATTACATATAAGACATCTTGAAAACATCAATTATTGAATGTTAAATTGTGGAGAAAAGAAATTGCAATTAAAATCTGAATAAAATTTACATTAAAAATTTATATTAAAAAAGAAGCAATTGCAAACTTATTAAAATGCTCCTACAATGTGAGCTATTAATAGGTCGTTAATTTTTTTATAATGACGCCTTAAAATTGATAAATAACGTCAATGAATATTTAGTTTTTTTAATTTTCTCGATGCGCTTAACGCAATTGTACAAGCAATCTCACAATCAGTAAAAAGGAAAGAAGAAGACAATCAGTGAAGGAAGAGTTAAAAGAAGAAGAATACGTAACATTATTTTTCTCTGGTCGTAATTTCATTAATCTGACACAACCACGTACACACTATATGTTGCCACTACAAAAGCGAAACAGCGCAAGAAAATTTAGTAGTGTCGTCGCAACGACAGAAATAATAAATTCTTATTAAATCACTTCTACAAGATGAACTATATATATATATATATATTTCACGACGATTTCAAGTACCACAAGAAGAAAGCTAAAATATATTTCTCTCGAGATATGTTCAAAGATATATTAATTATTAAATAACATTTTCGAATAATTTATATCTCACAATATATTTTCAGATCCGCACAGACGCACGCTACGTGTGTGTGTTATTAATTTTACATATTATTCCTAACTATCAAAAATACACACATCTGACAGCGCAGCTCTGACAAAATTCCCAAAACAAACCTTTTTTTATACATTTTAAATCATTACGCACATAATTTTTAAGAGAGGATATGATTTTCAAATAAGAGAGAAAAATTGGAGAAGGTGATAAATTTTATTATTTTTCATTATTATCCTAATACACAATTAGAATAATAATGAAAAATAAAAACCCTTATCGCAATTTGCCAGTAGTACATATATATATACAATATGTATGTAAATATACACATAAATATACACGGCAAAGTCTCAATTCGTCTTAATTCTCGAAATTAATATTTACGAGCGACTAAATACCGCCAATTTCGATAAAATACGGGATATATGGCGCACCTATTATACCGCAGCGAGGTAAAGCGGCGACATAAAAGTAGCTTGCGAGCACTCCTGTGACAGGCGTCGACATTAATCTACATAGAGGAGCACGGCACGAAGCTGTGTGTGCACGAAACGATATCGTGTATCACATCCCCGTACTTGCTGCACTTACTTTACACACACATACAGAGACATAGAGAAAGAGAGACAGAGACAGAGAGAGAGAGAGAGAGAGAGAGAGAGATGCCAGATTATCCGAACATCTTATTCCAGCTAGGACATCACCGCAGATTTATCGTTATAATATTATCAAGAGAAAGTAGGACGCGAAACCAAAAGAAAAATAACAGCGCATCTCTTCCAAATTCGCTTACATTGCAATATATATTATAAGAATAAAGTGGCCGTGTGTCTTATCTTGTTTTTTTCCTCAGATTTAAAGATCGTAAAAGTAAACAATTATGCGCTTATACATGCATCGCGCTGTGTGATGATGTCGCAATCATCGACAGTTGTGTATCCTCTTTTTGAAGAAAATCTCTTCTCTTTGTGTACACCAAAAAAATTGTATTTCTGCTTTGAGGATATCCCACTTACTTTAAATATACTTTATACTAAGATAGGCGCCAAGAAGAGTTTCTTATTTTAAAAGGAAAATTCTCTAAATAGTAATATTGATAAGAATATATACTGATTAGAATATAAAAAGCCTCTATAGAAAAACATATATATCTCACTATCGAAAAAGACTATATTCTTAAATTAAGAATATATTTTTAAAA